TTTATTTACAGAGCATTTTCACTGATCATAACCATTTTATTCATACTACAAGCCCATGAGATAGGCTGAATAGGTTTTATTTCCCTCTTTTTACTACTGAAGAGATTGAGACTTTGAGAATGTTAAATGCCCTTGCCCTGGGTGGCCGGCAAGGCAAAGCAGAATCAGCATGAGAATCTTTCTAACTCCTTAAGAGTGTCATTTCCCCTGCACTTTTGTGTTCTCTTCAGACTGAATTACAATTATTTTGAGGACATTTGATTGTAGTAACTCTAATAGTGAAAATGTTAAGCTCCAGACTTTGCACTTGTGGAAAGATACACTGGGGCAAGCACGCCTTGGAATATCTTAAATCAGCTAGATAAATTTTCTTTTCCACCTTCAGGTAGGACCAATGCTGCCAGAATCACTATCAATTAATATACATGACTGATTAGACCAAGTAATGCAGCCCAGGGGCATGTGTTTACTGGCAGCTGGGTACTTTCTGTACATTCCATTGCAGCTGCTACCTCCTTCTTTCCACATGCTGACTGCTAGAAGGCATCTGCCTCTGCCCTAATCTACTCTGGCCACACCTCCACTCAACAGTCAGTATCCTGATCCTCCCCCTTCACCCTTCCCACCCCCATCTCCATACCCAATATCACTAGAGTGACATATAACTTATTGTCTGACCCAGAACATCCTGAGAGGAGGAGACACTTTTATTGAGCATATCGAGACAAGTGTAAACCAATATGGACCTGACTAGAACAGGACCATATATATTATCACCAAAATAAGAGGTAAATTTTATTCTTTTTAAAAAAAAAAAAAAAACTTGACCTTTTAAAAAATTCTGCATGATACGTTTATTGGAGTTGTGCCTTTTGTGCCACACTGGCTTTCAAAAGCTTTTAAAATCATGGATTGGTCATGTTCTGGGACACCTAGTATTTTACTATTTTTTCCTCCATGTGCCCATTAGTACAAGTATGTCTCACAACAGACACGCTGTAAGGTAAGGGATTGACATACTCTTCTTGGATTGTGTGCATGGCCAGTACTCTTACTCAGTGAGTGGTCTCAAAACAACAGTACCTACCTAGCACCTACATTTTCCCTTTTAAAAAACATGAGCATAGTTTCTCTGGTGTGAAAAACTATAATGGTACATAAGATCCTAATGATATAATTGACAATATGAAATAGGAAGAATAGGGCTAAAGGTGTAGGGAAAGTGGGAAGGGTAGAGGAAAGGTAATAAGGGAAAAGAAAAATATACGAAAATGAAAAAATGGAAATAAAGTGTTTGTAAATGGGGAGGCGAGGAGGGGGTGAAGGGAGGGCAGGGACAAGGGGAAAAAATAAGAACCAAGACCTGTTGTGTGAAGGTACAAGATCCCAATGATGAATGTAACTGTTCTGTATACCTAAAATGTACCAATAAACTCAATACTAGAATAAAAAAACATGAGCATACAAAATAGCAACTATTTGCTTCTGGAAAAGCACAAAACTACTTGAATTAAACATTCCATCCAGAGGGATAATACTGAACTCTCCTTTTTCTCGTCTGTAGGTAGTTTCAGGTTCTTGACAGAAAGAAATAGTTGAACTGTTCCAAATTTGCCTCAGTGCATCCACATGTGATAAAGGAAAGTGAAGTCCATGAGACTGTTTACTCTTTTCCCATTGTGTGTGTCTCTGTCCTATTCTTTAGAGAATGATAGATGTAAACCATTTTTTCTTGAGCTTCACTGGATCGATTCTGACCTGGCCCTACTGTGAGGATGATTTGGTCTCTAAATTGCAGTCTCACTATGCTATCCAACCTGGGTAACTTTCTACCTGGTGTTGACAGCTCTCTGTTCCATCTCTTACATAGTAAGGAGGAAGTCTATGTGTAACAAAACTCTCCTTCATGTCTTTTGAAAGCAGTTCTTTACTGCCCTCCAGCCTTTCTGCAAGAGTTCTCAGAAAGCCACTTAACCTTCTTGTTGCAACAGCTGATGTTTCCACCTGCTTCAATATGAACTCATACATCAGCGCACCAGGTAGGGCCTCAGACTCCACACTGTACTTGTGTGCCAGCGCCACCTTGGGCGGGTAGAGCCACCAGTGCTTCTCTCCCTCCAGCTGCAGGATGAAAACCTCAACACCATCATAATGGGAGGTAGGCCTTGAGATCCTGCAAGGGTTATGTACACATTTGAGCCAACCAATAAGCCAAAGAAACAGTTTAGCTTCTCCTGGATCCCCCAAAGATCATCTTTAAATCTCTGAGTTTGGTGAAACTGAGTTTTGCCCTTTTCTGATCAAAATCTTTTCTCAGCTGAAGAAAGTGCACTTTATTATTTAAAACTTTCTTCTTCCCATTGACACACCAGCAGACATTCACATCTCTTCAGTAATACATAATCTCACGGCGCAGACTGTAAATCTGTTAGCCTGAAGAGAGATTGGTATGTAGCTAGTGCAGGGTCATCCCTCTAAATGCGGAAGGGGCTTCTTCTCCAAGAATTCCTTGAAAAGAAGTCTCTGTCTTGATGGGTGAGGTTAAACTTTCAAAGGGACTACTGGGGTTATCAGATTTTAAAGTGGAAGCCCCATCAACTGCCTCTACCTTCACCAGTTTACTAGAACACACCCCTCATCATTCTCGGTGGGCTTCACTTTCTTTGGCATTGTTCCGTGTTCAAGACAAAGCAAGAAGGAAGTGCAAATGTGTAAGGGCCAAGGCTTTCTCCTTTGTTGAGTTATCAGAATTGCACATACACTATTTTCTTCCCTCTTGTCATTATAACTAAGCAGTATTTCAGCAACACTGAGGACTGAGTAAGTAAAATTAATATTTGAGCCTGGGGAGGAAGGTGAGTCTTTACAATGGAGCAGTGTTAAAGTAGTGTGCAGTCCACAGCATAACTAAAAAGGCTTGTTAACAGGCAAATGCCTGGGTCCAAAAAAACTACCAAAAGACTTCTAAAGGTAATAATCAAATTCTGCAGCCTAGCTGGTTACAAAGTCAACACTCAAAAATCAATAGCATTCCTGCACACAAACAACAAACTCACTGAGAGTGAAATTAGGAAAACAATACCTTTCACAGTAGCATTCAAAAAAATGAAATACCTAGGAATCAGTCTAATTAAGGAAGTAAAAGACTTTTACATGGAACACTACAGTACTCTGAAAAAGGAGATCAAAAAGATTATCAGAAAATGGGAGGGCCGGGCCACCTGCCTGGCAAGCACAAGGTCTGGAGTACCCAGGTACCAAAAAAAAAAAGAAAAGAAAATGGAAAAATATCCCTTGTCCTTAGGTAGGAAAAACCAGTATGGTGAAAATGGCCATACTTCCAAAGTTTTTATATAGATTTAATGCAATCTCTACTAAAATTCCAATAGCATATAACAAAAGTAGAGAAAATCCTAAAATTCATTTGGAACCAGAAGAGACCTAGAATGCAAAAGCAATTTGGGGCAACAAAGCAAGGCAGGGGGTAGGTATCACAATCCCTGACTTGAAATTATACAACAGATACTGTGATTAAAAACAGCATGGTACTGAAAAAAAAAAAAAAAACCCAAGGATCAATGGAAGAAATTAGAAGACGCAGAAACAATTCCAAACATACTCAGCCACCTTATCTTTGACAAAGGAGCCAAACACCTTCACTGGAAGAAATATAGTCTCTTTAATAAATGGTGCTGGCGGGCTGAGAATTTAGCTCAGTAGTTCTGCCACCTGCCTCTCAAGTGCAAAGTCCCAAGTTCAATCCCCAGTACCAATAAATAAATAAATAAATGGTACTGGAAAACTGCCTTTCCTTATGCCAGAGATTAAAACTAGACCTATATCTTTCACCATACGCTAAAACCAAAATGGATCGTAGATCTAAATATTAAAACACAAACACTAAATTTTCTGGAAGATAGAATATGTGGAACTCTTAAAGATAATGGTGTAGGCAAAGACTTTATGAACAAAACCCCAGTCACACTGGAAATATCACAAAGAACAACTGGGATCTCATTAAAAAGCTTTTGAACAGCAAAATAAACCACCAACAGAGTGAAGGGACAACCCATGGTGTGGGAAAAAATTTTTACCAGCTGTTCCTCAAACAAAGGACTAATATTTGGAATATATAAAGAACTCAAAAAAAACCAGACCCCCTCCCAGTTTAAAGACCCATTCTAAAAGTGGGCATCTGAAATGAATAGACATTTCTCAGATGAAGAAATAGAAATAGCAAATAAATATATGAAAAATGTTCAACATCACTGGTAATTTGAAGATGCAAATGAAAATGATGCTGAGATTCCATCTTACTCCAAAAAGAATGACTCTTATTAAGAAATCAGCCAACAAGGTATGCTGGTGGGGCTGTGTGGAAAAAGGAACCCTTCTGCACTGTGGGTGGGAGTGTAGACTAGGGCAACCATTATAGAAATCAGTGTGGAGATTCCTCAGAAAACTAAAACTAGAGGTTCCATTAGACTCAGCTATTCCCCTTCTTGGCATCTTCCCAAAGGAATTAAAAGCATCACACCACAGCCATATATGCATACCTATATGAATAGCAGCACAGTTTGTAATAGCTAAATCTTGGAAACAGCCCAAATGCCCATCAACTGACAAATGGGTAAAAAGATTTGGGGGGCCGGGGATTTAGCTCAGTGGTTTCGCCACCTGCCTTACAATCCCAAAGACCCAAGTTCTATCCCCAGTACCAAAAATAAATAACTAAATAAAAATTAAAAAACATTTCTAGCTAAATAGATGCACCTCTTAAGTAAAATAAATCAGACATATATGTTTTAACACCCAACTATCTGGTGTGAGAAACAAAAAGTGGAAATAAGGACCAAAAGTATAATCTATAGTGGGAAATAGGAAATGTTCAAATGAGAAGGGGAACAAGGGAGGAGGGAGGGGAAAGAAAGAAGGGACAAGAAAAAAAGAGTAGAAGGAGATATTGAACTCAAGTTGGAAGAGGTGAGTCTGGTCTCCAAATGGAGGTAAAACAGCCACCCGGTCGCCCCCAGCCCAACTCTGGCTGTCGCTGCCACTGCCCAGGGGGAGGAGGGCCATGATCCAAAGGAACCAGAGCAGTTGAGGAAGCTGTTTATTGGTGGCCTTAGCTTTGAAACTACAGATGATAGTTTAAGAGAATATTTTGAGAAATGGGGCACACTCACAGATTGTGTAGTCATGAGAGATCCCCAACCAAAATGCTCCAGGGTCTTTGGTTTTGTGACTTACTCTTGTGTTGAAGAGGTGGTTGCAGCAATGTGTGCCCAACCACACAAAGTTCATGGGCTTGTAGTGGAACCAAAGAGAGCTGTTCCCAGAGAGGATTCAGTAAAGCCTGGTGCCCATCTAACAGTGAAGAAAATCTTTGTTGGTGGTATTAAGGAGGATACAGAAGAATATAATTTGAGAGACTACTTTGAAAAGTATGGCAAGATTGAAGCCATAGAAGTTACGGAAGAGAGAGTGGGAAAAAGAGAGGATTTGCTTTTGTAACTTTTGAGGATTACGACACAGTTGATAAAATTGTTGTTCAAAAATACCACACTATTAATGGGCATAATTGTGAAGTGAAAAAGGCCCTTTCTAAACAAGAGATGCAGTCTGCTGGATCACAAAGAGGCTGTGGAGGTGGATCTGGCAATTTCATGGGTCGTGGAGGAAACTTTGGAGGTGGTGGAGAGAATTTTGGCCGTGATGGAAACTTCGGTGGAAGAGAAGGCTGTGGTGGTGGAGGTGGTGGTAGCAGAGGTAGCTATGGAGGAGGTGATGGTGGATATAATGGATTTGGAGGTGATGGTGGGAACTGTGGCGATGGTCCTGGTTACAGTAGTAGAGGAGGCTATGGTGGTGGTGGGCCAGGATATGGAAACCAAGGTGGTGGATATGGTAGTGGAGGAGGATATGATGATTACAATGAAGGAGGGAATTCTGGTGGTGCTAACTATGGTGGTGGTGGAAACTATAATGACTGGAAATTATAGTGGTCAACAGCAATCAAATTATGAACCCATGAAGGGGGGAAGCTTTGGTGGAAGAAGCTCTGGTAGTCCCTATGGTGGTGGTTATGGATCTGGTGGTGGAAGTGGTGGATATGGTAGCAGAAGGTTTTAAAAAAATAACAACAAAAAAGGGCTACAGTTCTTAGCAGGAGAGAGAGTGAGGAGTTGTCAGGAAAGCTGCAGGTTACTTTGAGACAGTCATCCCAAATGCATTAGCGGAACTGTAAAAAATCTGCCACAGAAGGAACGATGATCCATAGTCAGAAAAGTTACTGCAGCTTAAACAGGAAACCCTTCTGGTTCAGGACTGTCATAGCCACAGTTTGCAAAAAGTGCAGCTATTGATTAAAGCAATGTAGTGTCAATTAGATGTACATTCCTGAGGTCTTTTATCTGTTGTAGCTTTTTCTTTTTCTTTTTCTTTTCATTACATCAGGTATATTGCCCTGTAAATTGTGGTAGTGGTACCAGGAATAAAAAATTAAGGAATTTTTAACTTTAAAAAGAAAGAGTAGAAGGAAACAAAGCTTCTGTGAATGAGGGGAAGGTGTTGAAGGGAAAGAGAATGAGAAAAATGAAGAAGCAAGGTGTATCATGTACAGGTAAACATGCACTGTACTCCCTGCACTGCTACTGTAGAACTTGAGCAGGTCTTACCACTCTTTTTGCACATGAGAAAACTGAGGCTCATAGAGGCATGTAATTTGTTCAAGGTCACATAGGCAGTAAAGAGTTGAACTGTCTCTAGTATGCTTTTACCTGAAGTTAGAGTTTTAAAGATAGTAGAGAAGGAAGTAAGGGCCTGAAAAGCTTATTAAAAGAGCAGCCATTAGGTATTGGAAATGGCTTAATCAAACCACACTGAGCACCAGTAACATAAAAGCATTCATTTCATATGCTTTGGATTTTACTTTGCAATGTTTATAAAAATTCCTAGTAATCCAAAACCTGGTTCGTTTAAACACTCTTTTCCCTGAGAGGCAATTTAACACGGTGGGTAAGAATGGAAGCTCAGAAATCCATCCAGCTAAATTTTAGTCCCAGCTTTCCCATTTGCTCCCTGTGTAACCTAGGAACAAGGCTCAATTCCATGCCTCAGTTTCTTTATCTATAAAAAGAAAAGGATTACAATCATAATATTTAGCACTTAGAGTTGGAAGGAAGAATAAGTGAGTTAATGATACATGTAAAGCACCTGCAACAGTGACTGGCACAGAGAAATTATTCAAGTAGTATTACTTCCTGCTTCCATTATATATATATCGATTCATTTAACTTCATGATAACCCTATGACTCTATAACAGCCCTACCATGAATGCCTTTTAACTGATGAAGAAATGAAAGTTATACTAATTATAAAAACATAAGGCACTATTCAAACCTTTAAAATAGATAAAAAGGATCTCTGATTATAGGTGTTAACCAGATTTGAAAAACACAACACATCAATGAAATATAAAAGTTGAAGGATATGTTATATTTTACATCAAAAACAAAATTGAATAAAACTCGACACTAACATATATAATACATATATATGAAATTTTTAAATGGTTTTATTTGTAAAGATGTAAGATATCATGAAGATATCTTAGCAAAAGATTCTCTAACCCAGAGGAATGACAAGTATGCTGACAGACATAATTTAAAAGCCACTTAGCCTTGATAGGCTTGAATGCTTGCTTTCAGAAGCCTGTGACTCAAATTTATAAATAATTAATATGTGCATTAAACATATTTTGTGCATCAACATGTACTTTCATCTTGAATGAAAAGTGCACACAATCCAAACATTTTTCTCTTAAAAATCAATCTTGAGAACAACAATGCATCAAAAGGGAAGTCAATACAACTAAAATATTTGTATAAGTAATGTCCTTAAGAAATAAGACATTAAGAGCAAACAGTTATACATATCTTCCTATTTTCCCAGATGTAAAGGAAGATTTTAACTGTGAAGTGGTCTCCTGCTAAATCCTAGGAACTTGGATCAGGGAAACAGGTAGGTAGACACCAAGGATTATTGCAAATATAAAACCTAGAAAAATATTCCAGTTAAAGGCAATCTGACTATAAAAAGCTTTGAGAAAGGAATGGAAAACAGTGAAGAAAGAGGAAAAATATAAATGGGTGAAAAGAAAGGAATGGATATGAGTAGAGGACAAAAATGACTTAAAAGTCACAACAAATAGGTTCACTTATTTCAAAAGGAAATCAGGCTCCTGAAGAGATTTCTGGGCTGTGGAACACATACATGAAATGGCTTATTTCTAAGAACACTAAACTATTAAAGACATTTGAGCCAAAAGGTACAAAATATCACACACACACACACACACACACACACACACACACACACACACACACACAACACACACACAAAAAAAAAATAAGCTTAAGCTGCTTAGTCTGTTGCTTTGTGATCACAATAAATTACACACACTACTGGACGGCAAGCAATCACTTATCTATGTATGTAAAGTTTACCTGTGGCTTGCTTGTTTTTCTTCTACTGAAGTGATTTAATCACTGACATCTATATTTGCAGATCCACAAAAGTTAATGTTATCATCAAACAGCCTAGCTGTAAAGGCCATGTGTGTTCTGAGTATTTTGTGTGCTCCTAAGCTTCCTGCATTCCCTTTGTTTTGTTTTGTTTTTTGTTTTTTTTTTTTTTTGGTACTGGGAATCGAACTCGATCCTTGCTCTTGCGAGGCAGGAGCAGAACCACTGAGCTAAATCCTGGGCCCTAGATTCCCTTTGGCTATCTTAGAATAACTGAGTTTCAAGTTAGTATTGAGTCTCCTTATGAAGTAAGCATTGCATAGAGAAAGAAGACCCTAGTGGGTGGGATAGAGAATTGCCTTGCAAAGGAAGGAGATTTGCTAAGACAACCAAAGAGGATGGCTGTTCCCTCTTGATCCTTTCTCTAAATACGTTGTGCACACAGCTTTGCATTAATGCTGCTCATTTTAGCAGACCATAACCTCTTCCTGTCTATCAATGATTTGTTTGTCTGTCTTCTCATCTAGACAGTGAATTCCTTGAAGGCACAGATGAAGAGTCAGTCATTCATCTGTTTATTCTTGGCACCAGGCCTGGCACATCAAATGCGTCTTTTTCCGTGTGTGTGTGTGTGTGTGTGTGTGTGTGTGTGTGTGTAATGAAACTCATTATCTAATGAAACTTCTGACTTGTGAAGCTTTATATTAAAGAACTTTATATATTAAAAAACTTTATATTACTATAAAGTAAGCTAGACCACCTTGTTTTGTGCCTCAAATCCCTTAACTCTTGGATAGGCAATGGACATTTATATAATCAGTCACCAAATGTTAACAATTATTTTTGAGTTGTAGAATCTAGGGTACTTTTGTCCTTTTTTATACTTTCTACTTTGTTTTAATTTTTACAGTGTGCATATTGTCATTTTAACAAAATAATAACATTTTTCAAGAATTGGAGGAGTTATTTAGAACAATATACAGAAGGAGAGCCTTCTGTAATTGGCAACTATTAGTAAATTGAACGTCCTTAAGCTTAAGGTTAGCATCATGGAGAGTACACAACTCTCCAAAGAGACAGCAGAATGGAAGGAATCATAAATAACACTGATCTAGTGAAACAATTTGTCCTAGTTTGAACATGTTCAAAGAGAAATGACAGCCGGCCTTAGAAGCTTTAGGCTTCATCTAGCTCATGGTGAACTAGTTTTTCTGTGAAGAAACAGCTCTGAGTAAGAATAAAACAATGTGTACACAAGGTGAGATAATTGCATGTTATCACCCCCCGGTTGTGCCAGTCTGCCTAGTATGTGGCATAACCAGTTCCTGGAAGAGCTCAAGCACTCATCATTTCAGAATCCTCTTTCCTTATAGGTGGACAAAGATCCACTTTCAATCTTGAATTTATAATGTGGGGAAAAAAAACTGACCTAAATAGGGCCAGGAATGTAGCTCAGTGGAGCCACACCCACTTCACAAGCACAGGGTCCTGAGTTTGATCCCCCGTACTGGAAAAAAAAACTGACCTAAATATAATGTGAAACATTCATTCATGAGATGCAAACACTTCTCAGAAAGATGATGTACAGGTAAACATTTGTGCCTATCAGTATTTCCTTCTGGAAGCCATCTGGTGTGTTGTCACAGGACTCTGCCTCAAAAACTATGCATTTTTAAAATGTTCCTTTGATGCCCCCAAAAGTTTCACACACCCCATTATATAAGATGAGTGAAAGTCATGCTTTTCTTTTGTCAGGTGGGTAAAGAACAATTATGAAAGGTAAACAACAGATTAACTATAGGAGAAAGTATATA